GGAAGACAGCATAGTAGATGTAGCTAATAAGAGAATTGGTTGATCTAGAAGATGGCTCTGAAGTAATTACCCAGAATGAAGAAAAGAGGGACCGATAGATAAATATCAGTGTGAGTAAAAACATAGAAAATTTAATGAGATGGCAGTACATTAGAATCACAAAATGAAAGAAGAGAAATAATTGGGAAAAGATAATATGTGAGGGTAAGGGCTGGCTTATTTTCTACAACCGAAGAAGGATATGAAGCCTCAAATTCAGGAAACACAGTATCGAGCAGGTTAAATGCAAACGCCATACATTGCAAGTACAGAACTTTAAAGAGAAAGGGAAAAACTAAAGGGTGGCATCAACAACAGAAGCCCATGGAATAGTTACAAAGGGTTAATGGAAAGTGCTTTGAACCTGGTCATAAAATTATAAATCCAGCCAAACTGTTGTAATATTAATAAAAACAAAACAGAGAGGTAGCTAGCCAGAGTGACACAGCAATAACACAATGTTCTGTATTGCTAAAGCCATATGGGAAGGTCCTGGGTTTGTGTCCCCCGAGGTCTCCCTACGACCCTGGAGGTGATTTCTCACTGTCTCTCTGTCAGTCTCTCTGGCGAGTGACACGCCCTATATGCCCTATAGCAAAAGTCTCTCTCTCTCTCAAAAAAAAAGAAAAGTTAAATGTTCAAAAGTTAAACTATTCCTTTTAAGAGTGGAGATTGGAGGAATAAAGTGTGGAAGTTTCTTCAGATACCCTGGCTGGTAAAAAGCCCTGCGGCATGGGCCAACTCCTTGGCTAGTGGTTAAGAGATCTAGATCCCATATGGCAACTGAGTTTCAAATTCCAGCTCCAGTGACTTGAAAAACATGGCGGATGCACGTGTGTGCGCACTTAGTTCCCACAGGATGGAAAAATGGAGGAGAAGGGATTGTAGCAGGGCCACATCCCTTTGAGGAGTGCATTCTTTTCTTCATCCTCTCTCTCTCTCTGGCAAGTACATGTGCCGTCTGGCAAAACAAAAACAAAACAAAAAAATCTCGAAGGCACCCTACCCCAAAGAAAGGCCACCACTGGCTGCAGGTTGGGCAGTTCAGAGGTATTCCGGTCACACGTTTGTTGTTTCTGAAGGAGAGTGGAGAGCGTTGCTGGCACACAGCATGACTTCTGTGCAGACAGGTGAACTATAGCAATTTGTTACTGTTTCACCCAGGAGCTCTACGAGAAGGGTTAACTAGGACACAGAGAATTGAATTAAAATCGGGAAAGCATTTTACAAGAGTTCTGACCTACATGGGTAAACCTGGGGGAACTTTCTTTCTATTGCCTCATTACTGGATTAAAGAATTCTGCTGCTTGTTAGGAGGTTCATTTCACTTCCCATTACTCCCAACTTCATACTCAAAGCACTGAGAACTTCAAATATATTGGAATAGACTTCAATTTCTTTACATCCTTCTCGACATCATTTCTGCATTCTCTGTTCAAATTTTAGTCATTCTTAAATAATCCTGTTGGGTGTTCTCTAGCTAACATGACTCCTGTAAGCCAATCAGCTTTTGCAAAGTCTCACACAAGACTATCCAATCAGGGTGACCTACACAAATTTATAGAGGACCTTTTAAACTATGGCATTATTACAGTTAGGGGATCTATCGGAAGAAACTTACATTACTGCTTTTGAGAAAAAGAAAGTGTCCAGGTTCTGGGTTGGTCGTTTAACAATGGTACACTGCTATCTACCCAGGCCATGGATGATTTGTTATGTTTTATAAAAATGAAGTTTCTTGAAGCATCTGATTGTTGTGTTGCTCTCATAGAATTGCAGGTCTTAGGAGAACTCTAGTGTGTGTTGCCCAAGTGTTCTGATGCTTGTAGCATTAATTGAAGGTGGATTGAAATACGAAGATGCAGTGAAGTTTGTAAGACTCAGTGGAACTTTCACAAGCGAGCAGTGTTTGCACTGAGAGAAGCAGTGTGAAACTGCAGCTATACCTCACAGATACCAATAGTTATAGAACCAGCCGTTGCAAGTAACTACTGGGCTGGGTGATGCCATTGTCTGAGAAACGGAACATAAGACAGGACTCAATTTGTCACACATATTAGCCAATATCCAGGCTTAGTGAATGCTCTAGCTAATGAAGCTTCTACAGGACTACCGACAAGCAGTTTTACCATGCTACACGCCTGATGGATCCCCACCTCTGTGTTTGCATTATGCTCAGCTTGGTTGGACATGTAGCCACAGATGTTTGCTGTTCAGCATTGGAAATATGCTTACCGTTTGTATCACTGACCTTGCCTGCGATCATGTCGTATTGAGTTCTGTCTTCTGCACATCTGTTCTCATCCCAGAATCTTACCAATTTTTAAGTAATGCAGAGAGACTGAGTGCCAAAATATACAGCAAAATATTGGCATGTTTTTAATACCATAAAAAAAATTAAGGAACTTTGAACAATAGTCTAGACCTTCTGTGATTTATCCCTTCAGTCATTCCAGACATGGACAGAAGCGCCTAGATGGTTATTTGACTGCTACTTTATGTCTCTCTCTCCCACATTTGAAACAGTGTGCCTCCAGTCTGTGTGACCATTGATTTTGGATTTTGTCCAAGTCGTATGATGATTTCTTAATGTTCTTCTATAAGTAGCATTTTCTCTATTGTGAAAAATCTCTATTTAAAATAAAATCACAGACCTGGGCTAGCAGATGCATAATGGTTACATCACTGGACTCCCACATGGCCAACTGCGTTTCGAGTCTCGGACCTGGTGGCTTGGGCACACGTACCTCCATGCCCAAGATCCCGGGAGGAAAATGGGGAAGGAGGGTTGCAGCATGGCCATCACCACTGGGGTGATTTCTCACTTTCCCTCTCACTGTCTCTGTCTCACTCTCTGGTAACTATACACTCCCCAAGGCAAAAAACTCTTAACGAGAGAGAGAGAGAGACCTCTGGTTTCATGTGAAGTTGACATTGTACAGTACACCTATCTTTAATGCCTTCATACCAAAAAAAAATTTTAAAGTTAATTTAATGTTTGCACTTGGAGGTACAACTTAAAATATAGGACTTGAATAAAGAGGCAAGTATATTGTTCTCAATCTCCCAGTGTCATGGTAGATTTTTGCAATGTTTCCTTATATTTCCTTCAAGTTACGAAGATTTAGAGAAGGTCTCTTATATTAGGTCTTAAGGGAATTTTTTTCTTCTTCATTTTTCCCCATTTTCTTTTACTCAAATTTTTTGCCTCCTTCTCTTTTACCTCACTCTTTTTTTTTCTTTTTCTTTTCTTTTTCTTTTTTTGAGAGGTTTTTGCTATAGGGCACGTGCGCTCGCCAGACAGACAGAGAGGGACAGAGAGACAGAAAGCGAGAAATCACCCCCCAGCAGGAGGCATGGCCACACCGCAATCCCTTCTCCTCCATTCTCCTCTCGGGATCTTGGGCACACACACACACACACACACACACACACACACACACACACACGTGCCCAGCGTAAGTTTTAAGCCACCGGGTCCGGGACGCGAACCGCAGTCGACTACATGGGAGTCCAGTGACATAGCCATTAAGCTAACTGCTGGTCCCCTCTTTTACCTCACTCTTGACCACCACCTCTCATAATAATTTTAAATCAGTACTAAAGAGCTGCTTGAGGAGGGGAAAGGTTTATCACTGAGGAAAGGTGTCTTTTGGTTAATTGTGTGCTTAGTATTATAGCTTCAATGGTTATTTTAAAAACAAATACCCACTGACAGATACAACTTTCCCTCATTCCATTCTGGGTGTGTCTGAGTTGAGTCACTTCATATATTGCAGAAACTCAGGAATCCAAGGGCAAAAGCCCTTAGAAATGACCTGTCAGAGAAAGAGAGTGTAGCATGTACAAACCAGTTTAGAGCCAAGTAGTTCTGGATGAGTTCGAATCTCCACTCAGCCTACTAATTGAGCAATCTACTCAGACTCAGACTTAGCTTCCGTTGCTATTAAATCTGGACAGTTACCTTGTCAGGCTAAAATAAACCTAAGAGTGTGAAAAGTGCCTAGAACAGTGCCTGACACATACGTAGTAACCATTATTGGAAATATGTTTTAAATTATCATAATTATATTAATCATCGAGGCTTGGTTGCTCTGGTCAGAGAAATGTAGATTCCATGAAAAGCAAGGGTGGACAGGACTGAATGGTATTGTTGCCCATTTGAAAACTTACATCACATGAAACACTTATTTCTGTCCTTTTTTGGTAACCTGTAGACACATATTTCCCATCTACTGTTGTTTTAAAGGTCATCTTGAATTGACTCAGTCCGTATCATTTAAGCACATCTCTTTTGTTAACCTGTATGTTAATATTATGATTGTTGATATTTGACAAACTACTTGTTTTAACAATTTTATATGCAATGTAAGAAAGTGTATGATAAGGGGTCTTCAAAAAGTTCATGGAAGGTACATATTATATTAAAAATAATACATAGAGTTTAAAAATTGTTTGCATCAAAATAAACTCACACTCTAATTCCATTTTTTCACAAACTTTTGAAGCCCCTTGTGAATTCATAGAGAAAAGAAAACTTTTAATACCTAGAGAATTTAATACTAGTTTTATTTGAATTCTCCTAGTTATTTGGTATTTGTTTTCTATAAATGTATCCAGATGTGTATATGCCACATAAATTCTATGAACTAATTCTGATATTTATTCAATAAATTATCTTCTAAAAATTTCTACCTCTGGACCTAGTTTTATCCATTCTGAAAGTATCAGCCATTTGCTTATGGTAGAAGTAGTTTAAGTCAATAATACTAGGATATCTAAAGTGAAAGGCAATTTGGAATAACATATTCTAAGAACCAACATGAATTCTGGTTCTGTTATTTTCATTAGGTCATTTAAGGTGTTTCTGTGGGCAGAAATAAATTGAAGCGCCCCCAAATTAGGTGGGCTTTATGTTTTACTTATGTGCTCTTGGTTTGCCTTCCTTTTGCGTGTTTTAGGCTCAGCTATGTGAATCATGCAGAGGATCTGGCCTCCAAGCTCCTACAATGTTCCCCAAAGAACAGACTATCGGCACAGGCTGCCTTGAGCCATGAGTATTTTAGTGACCTGCCCCCACGGCTATGGGAACTGACCGATAGTAAGTATGACATGTTCATAATATCCAGTCAAAACAGAGATATAATTTTAGCATCTATACGTAATGTGCATGTAGAGAGTCTAACATGTTCATATGTGTACAAACGTAAGATTAGTTATGTTCGTGTAAACAGTTTGTGTAGAGAGAAAAAGAAAAACCAAGGTGGTGGGGGGAGTTTCTGTGTGTGTGTGTGTATGTGTGTGTGTGTGTGTGTGTATGTGTGCGTGTATATATATATATATATATATACATAGATACATACATATAATTTTTTTTAGTGGAATCCTGCCATTCAATTGCTAGCTTAACAGACACAGGAAGAAAATGGATTCCTTTTTTGCTATCTCTGCTCTGCAGTCTGCAGCTGGGCGTCTTTGTATTTGATTATGTGTGTGTCCAAAGAAAAAAATGATCTGAGTAGTCATAAAGGAAAAGGAAAATATGATTTACATATTTAGTGCTTTATGCATACAGTACTTTTTAACTGGCTGCAGTACACAGAGGAGAAATGATTCATTTCTGTTTGATTCTCAGAGACCATCTTGGTTGTAACAATAACCTTAAAAAGGGCTGTATGCACTGAGCAGAGGAAGAGTTGACAATTGGCTAATGCACTGAATTGACATGTAAGACCCAAATACATGTAATTCATTTTAACTGCAAATGCTCTTGGTATTTGTACAGACAGATCATCTCTAGATCTTTTAAAACAAAACACATTCCTGGGTGGGTTTTTGTTTTGTTTTACTAAAATGTTCACATTTACACAGCCTTTTTCAATTACGTTTTAAATTTTGGGGAGAGAATTTATGACTGGGAGTATCTCAGTTCTGTTCAAAAGTGTGAAACAGAATTTTTGTGAAGTTTTACAAAACACTATTGCAATAGGAATATTTTTGTTCAATGGTGATGATATTTTCTTTCCAAATACCAATTAGAGATATTTCTTCTCATACTCTTTTCTCATTGTTTTAAAAATGAGCATATTGCATATATGCATAATATTCATAATATATTTTAGTTTGGAGATACACATTATGTACAGTAGATGTGCAGTTATTTCTTTCGTCTCTTGCATTTTAGACTTTTCCCCCCACTGTAGTATAGGATTCTCCTTGGTAACAGTAACCCTTTCTTTTTGAACTGCATCATAAGTAACTACTCCTCTCAGGTAGTCATACCCTATCTTTTTTTGATATCTCACATTTATTTCTAATTAGTTTTTTAACCCTAAAGTGGCTTTAAATATATCAATCTCCTACTCTCCTTGGGCTTAGCAAATGCTTGTTAACGTTTCACATATGCCAAGCCCATATTTACTCTATAGTAAATACTGCTCTGCTCCCTTACTAAAAGCTACCCGCTGACTCTTAAAATAGCTATTTCCAGCCAAAAAAAAGATGAAATCCCTATGGAAAAATAATGAGGAGGTGATGCGTCTTCCTATACTGAAAAAAAAAATGATGCAAATAAACTCATTAGTTTATGGCTCATCACACTCCAACATATGGTTTGTTTTCCCATTTAGTGTAACTTGTAAGTTGATATCACTCCTCCTTGGTGACATCTCAATCCCATCTGACTTGATGATTGAGTTTAAGCCAGGATTTTGATAGTCTACGAATTCTGAATTCTGTAGTAGTACTTTTCTGTTAATATGGACTTATTACCCACTTGCCACTTAGTTTATCAGCCAGTGGTTAAATCCAGTTTCTATCAGTGAGTAAATGCCTACACATTATCACTCCGCAGCAGACTGCCAACGGAGACAGCCTTGTCCCCGTCATTAACAAGCACAATGTATGCAGAACACCAGAGGGGAATTAAAACCACAAAAAATACCTCAGGGTGGTATTTTTAATATGAGAATTTAATTTGTAATTTCACAGATTAAGAATTTTGGCTGCATTAATCCCTTTATCAGCTCACAGCAGGCTATTTGCAGAAGCATAACCATAAGGCGATATTCATTGGCAGAAACACGTCTTTGCATAACGTTAAACATCAGGAGCAGTGAAACCTTTTGAAGGGGGGAGAATAAAGATGAAAAATCATTATATTTTTAAAGCAAGATTCTACTAAATGCCTCCGGTAACAATTTTGAGTTACAGAAATGCTATTTCTGTGTCTAGAAGATAATCATTATGAAGCATAAATCCAGTCGCAAGAAAGGACAATCCCGGTATTAAATACTACAGTCATTTCCATTTAGAACAACGTGGCTGCACTTGTAAACATGTTTACAAAACAAAGAATTCCCAGACTTTGGAGAGACTCTGGGAATTAGTTCCTTTAAGTGAAATAGCTGGTGTTGTTGACTCTGTTGTTTAGGTTACTACTCTGCAGACTATAATTAGGAATTCTTCAAACTACTTTTTAAAAGTTTGCATTAGTGCAGAATCGTGTCAAAGTTTGCTGTCTGGGAAATGAATAGCAGCAGCCTTATGTGCTCCCTTTCCAAGGAGATTGAGGAGGGAGTGCACCTAGAAGGATGTTGCAGAACCAATAACTGGATTGTCTTGGCAACCAGGTGTCATGGTTTAGACTCATCGTTCCAGGAACTGCACTGTATGAGTCTGCTCAGGCTGCTATAACAACATATGATAGACTCGGTGGCTTAAGCCACAGATATGTATTTCTCAAAATCGTGAGGGATGGAAAGTCCAAGATGCTGGTTCTGACAGACTGGGTTCCTATGATGGCTCTCTTCCCAGCTTCCAGAGGGTTTACCTTGCTATATCCTCACAGGGATATAGCAAGGGAAGCCCTTGCTCTCTCTTCCTCTTCATTTAAAATCACTAATTCCATCATGAGAGCCCCATCCTCATGACCTAATCTAACCCTCCCAAAGGCCACCTCTCCAGATTACCTTGGGGGCTAGGGTTTCCACATATGAATATGAGAAGCACAATTCAGTCCATCACATTCACATTCTCAAAGGTGACTCACAGCATTCTTTAAAGAATATCTACAAAAGGAAAACACGTAAGCAAGCCAGAAGCAAAACCAGTTTAAAAAGAGAAAAATTGGGAACAAAATTAAGTCAAAGATGGGCTCAAACTTAACTGGGCTCCTTTCGCATATGAAACCCTGTGAGAAAAATATCAAGTGTTGTCAGAGCCTAAGTAATACAGAGAGCTGCAGTCATTCCAGGGATCAACCTACAAATAGAGCCATATGTTTATGCCAGATTTTCATGTGCCTTGAAGAAGGAAATACATAATAATGTTAAGTTTTTATTGTACTATTCCTTATAATCTCATTAAGTTACATAATGCCAAAATTTAGAAGTAAACTATTAGTATGTCACCAAATCAGGCATTATCAAGAGAGAATAATGGCACAGTTATCTGGGGAATCTGGCTGTTAAAGCTGGCTAACTCTGGTGGCATCCTGTCATTCTCTCTGTCCTGAAACCCCAACAGCCTTGCCCCACTTCTTCAGAAAGATTTAATTGCAAGCAAGTAAATGGAGGGCTGAATTAGAAGAAATTCATTACTTTTCCCAAATACACCACAGGGCATTCTCCTGTGTATACTATCAAGTTACATAAATAATTGAAGCTGAACTACCCTTGTCAAAGTAAATGAACAAAATACACTTCATAGCACAGAGTCCTTGATTTTATTACATTCATTTGCTAATTCACAAAACTCAAATCCAGTGAAAGAAGGCCAACAAATTGGTACAGTGCGAAGAGCACTGAACTGGGAATCAGACCACCTGGCTTCTAGCTTCAGCTCCACTGCTCAGTATCCAGGCAACTTTGGAGAAGTGACTTCGTCTCTCTAGGCTTCTGATTTCTCATTTAGAAAACCAGTGAGATGGACACAGTTGTCCCGAAAGGACCTTTCTAGCTCTAACGTTGGTAGATTTCCCCACATAGTCCCACATCAGTCCTATACATTATTCTAAAACAACGTGATCCCATCAATGTAGCTTCATGTTGTCTTTTTAAGAATAAGCTAAGCACCTCTGTTACAGATCTATTTCCTGCCTCCAATTTCTAGATTTCCATTCTGTCATGAATCCTTCTCAAACCAGATTTTGGCACCCACTACTCCTGAACTTAACTGCTGCTTTCTGCATCCATTGGTCATTTCCTAGTTGTCATCTTGATCTATCAATAGAATTAAACACAATTTGGTCTATTAGCAGAATCTACCACTTCCAGAACCAGTAGATAGCATAATAGTTGTGTTGCTGGACTCCCACCATCGACTGCTGTTTGAGTCCTGGGCCCTGGTGGCTTAAAACTCACACCGGGCGCATGTGGCATGCATGCCCAAAATCCCAAGAGGAAAATGGAGGAGAAGGGTTTGAGGCATAGCCATCCCTCCTGGGGGTGGAGTGACTCGTGTTTCCTCACTTTTTGTCTCTCTCTCTCTGTCTCTCCAGTGAGTGCACACACCCTATAGCAAAAATCTCTCTCTGGAAAAAAAAAAAAAAGAAAAAAGAATCTACTATTTCCTATCAGTAACAGTAATGCTTGTTCTCAGGACAGGCTGCTCCTATGGTTTTCCTTTTGCCTACTTAGACTCTCCTTCTCAAAATCCTTTGCTGATTTCTCCTGTCTGCCAGACCTCTCACTGTTAGAGTGCCCCAGGGCTTAATCCTCAGATCTTTCTGTCTGCAAACACTCCCTGGAGTCTAGATGATCTCATTCAATCTCATGATTTAAATATCATCTAGACACTGCCAGTTTCCAGATTTCTATCTCCAGCCCTATCTTCCCTGACTTAAGACTTGCTATCCAACTAACTACTCCCTGTTGTCATTTGACCATCAAATAGGCATCCCGAACCTAATATTGTCAAAACTGAACTCCTGATCTTTTCCACCAAATGTGCTACGTCTGTAATTTTTTATTTATGTTTTGGGCAGAGTTTGAGCAAAAACTATTTGAATCAGGCAGCCCCCAGGATGGCTTCTAAGGAACTCTGATGGCCACATGATGGGATAACACTTATGTGCAAAAAAGAGAAAGTGACATACAAAAAACAATAGTGAGGTAATGAGGGAAAGAAATCACTGGATTGGTTACAGCTTGTTGTAACCGGCTTAAAAGTGGCCTGTCTGTGATTGATGGAAGTGTAGCTACTGTGATTGGCTGTAACTTAGCAACTTGCTAAGGAAACAGACTTCCAAGTGAGGTTGTGGTTTGCATACAAGAGCTCAAGCAGGAGTGTGGAGGCCTTCTCAGACCAGTATAGTTGAACAATTCTCCCCTTTTGGTCAGCCTCTCAATTTTGACAGATTGACCAAAACTTAACTCCTCCTGTAGTTTTACCCTTGTCAATAAATGGCAAGGTCATTTTTCCAGCTGATACAAGTTACCCTGGCCGCCTCCTCTTCTTTTACACTCCATATCTACTTCTTCCACGGAAGACTTGAATATTGTTGGTGCTACCTTCACCCTATATCCAGAAGCACACACTCCTCACTTCACTGCTCCCACCCTGGGCTAGGTCACTCACTAGCTTCTGTCACCTGTAGTCTCCTAACTGCTTTGTCTGCCCTTTTCTGCCCCGCGGTTCTTACTGTTTCCTCCTTCTACATTTTGTACCCTCTCTCCCTCTAGTTATGGGCATGGCTTACCCTCTCAGCTCCTTTAGCTCTTTACTTAACTGGCCTTATCAGGAAAGCCTTTACTGACCTCCTTCCACTCTAAGCTTCCAGCTTCTCTTCCCTGTTTTATATTTCCTTTTAATTTTTACTACTCTTTAGTACATTCTATTTGTTTGGTTGCTTATTGTCTGTCACCCCCCACCCCCACCAGAATCTATAAGAGTAGGGATTTTCTTTCATTCTAATATGTTTACTATAGAATTAGACAATTCCTAGAACAGTGTGAGGCTCACTAAATATGTCTCCAATGAATGAAGGAATGGAACAAAGAGCAAAATATGTTGTTTCAAATCCAAGTTAATCATTTAAGGTCATCTGAGCGTAAATGGTTCTGAGGGGAACCCAGACTATCTTATCATATGTGTGAGTGGATGTGTGTAAAAGTATATATATATGTACATATATGCAATTCCTAGAACAGTGTGAGGCTCACTAAATATGTCTCCAATGAATGAAGGAATGGAACAAAGAGCAAAATATGTTGTTTCAAATCCAAGTTAATCATTTAAGGTCATCTGAGCGTAAATGGTTCTGAGGGGAACCCAGACTATCTTATCATATGTGTGAGTGGATGTGTGTAAAAGTATATATATATGTACATATATGTATACACACATATGTGTGTATATATATATATATATATATATATACACCTGTAACCACTTAACATCTCAAAGACCAACATGTACTACCATAGTCAATGTGTAGGATATTTTGAATTTCATCTCAGTCTCCAGTGTTTTGAAAGAAAATACTTCAATAAATTTATAAATATATATTTCTTTATTCTGTCCATAATGTCTTCTATTTTTACCGTCCCAAATGTGAGATTGCAACCAGAAGCTGGAGAGAGCATGCGGGCCTTTGGCAAAAACAATAGTTATGGCAAAAGTCTATCAAACAGCAAGCACTGACAAGCACAGCATTCTCAGGAGAGCACAGGTAAGATGACCTACTTTACTTGGAAAGTAATATTTAATAATATTGAATAGAGCTATTAAATGAAATATTCAGACTCATTTTCCCCAAAACTATCTCAGGAGTCTCTTGTGTTTATTATGGCATTCAGCAGTCTACCGAGGCAGCGTGTATTCAATCATTTCCATATTTCCAGGCTTCTACTAGACTCCAACCAAGATGATGTTTGTTCTTAGACTTTTCTTTCTGTAGTCATGGGCACACCATCATAGACATAAGCAAATCATTTTAACTACTCACACATCCCTCTCTGGAATTTGAAAAACGTTCAGTTTGGGCTATATCTAAGCCATAGGCTTGTTTTATTTGACCCATACAATTGTTTTAATGAGTTGCTCTTATTTTAAGTGGAGAGATTTCTACACATGCACACACACACAAACAAAAACAAACGAACAAATAAACCAGATATCTTCCTTATCTTGAAAAGCCAGCAGCTCTGGCAATCCTGCTCTCTTCGTTCCTACCAGTGTGGGTGTGTAACTGAATTATGGCCGCCTCCTCTAGTAAGGCCTGGCTTCCCTCTTCAGCCGCCGTCTTCACCCGTTTCTGGTATCCCTTTGTTCCTTGGTGCAGACTTTATCATGACGAAGCTTTTCATTTTGACTACTTGATTATTTGACCTCTACTGTTCTGCAGATAGGAAGTACAACCTAAGCATGGGGACCTCTAGGCATGTCAGTGCATCCCATATGCTATACAGTAACAGGCACGAGACTGTAACTTCTGACAAGGCTCTGTGTTTATTGATTGCCAGTTAAAATGTCTGTTTTTTTTTGTTGTTTTTTGAGTAGCATATGTGGATGCACACACTTGTGTATGTGTGTAGGATTTATCTTTCCTTCAATGTAACATAATTCTCTGAAGCAAACAGAGAGCAAACGTTTCTGAGGAGGCTTTTTATGTGCTGGTTCATGTAGAGGAGAACATGCCCAGTCCAAGTTTCTGCAGACACTCGGTAATTAAATGTTCGGGTAAATCCAAGGATATGTACAGCATTGCAGGAGCTCCCCTTCCTTTCTCTGTCTCTTCATTTGAACATATTAACAGGTTAAATTGACAGCATGGGAAAGGGCAAATTAAACCAGCCATATTGTTTTGTAAGAGATCTGCCAGTATCTTGAGCTATTTCTGGATTTAGCTCTTGCATGCCCTCAAATGGGGGCTACTGTTGGCATCCCAGGGGTATGGCAGTGATTCTATGAATGATCTAGAGATTTTAAAAAAAACCTTCCAGATAAAATATGGTATGTCAATACCATTCAGATTCTTCATTGTGTAGGCTCTATCTCCCTATTAGACAAAAAGTTGCCTAAAGGGGCTGGCGAGTAGTATGGTGGTTAAGGCATGGACTCCCACATGACCAACCACAGTTTGAATGCCGGACCTGGCATCTTGCTTTCTCACTTTCTCTCTCTGTGTGTGCGTGTGTGTGTATGTGTGTGTGTGTGTGCGTGTGCATATATATATATGCATACACATACAGTTGTCTCTGGTCAAATTAAATGAAGTAATAATAATAAATAAATTAAATTAAATAAATCCTTTTTTTTAAAAGTTGCCTAGAAGCACCATTTTACTCACTTGGTAGAACTTGGACTGCCACTCTGAACTTCAACTGGTCAACAAAGTGTGGAGCTGGGTCTTGACCAGTTATCTCCTTTTTCTGAGAATGATTTCGATTCATGCAGATTGGAGCATGTGCTTTTTAAAAAGAGTTTAACCTGCATTTTCATAATGAGGGCCCTGGCTTCATAAATCCCTTGGTCAGTTAGGTAAAACAAAAGAAAAAGTGGACTATTTGTGCTGCTGCCTCATACACACATATAGACAAGCAAGCCCAAATTTCAATCTCAGGGCTATATCTTTTCTTCTTGGCTCTTTTGAGATCTCCTGACCTGAGCCTGGGCAATCAAAACAGCTCCTCCTTGTGAAATCAAATCAAACACGCAGTACGGAAGCATTGCCCAGAAAGTCTCAAAAGTTGCTAATTGAAATGAGATTTTTAAAAAGTTGTTCAGAACTGGAATCAGTGTTTGAAAGCTTTATAAAAAGTTCTTTTTAAAATTATGTTTTAAACTAGATTTAGGGTTATATCTGCATGGTGGACGCTTTTTCTCTAGAATCATTTGATAGCAATACAAATATTTCTTTGTGTGTGAGTATTCTCCTTTTCACATCAACTTTTAAAGCTTTAATATTGTTCTTGTAGTTTTCTTCCAAATACAAATGCCTCAGCATGATTCAACATAATGCTGAGGAACATCTCAATTTATCTTTTTTCAGAAAAGCTACATGGAAGCTGGATTCCAAATTTTCTGTCAGTCAGCAGAATGAAATCATTTTAATTTCTCACCTATATGGATTTTTAAACTTTAATCAAATGAGGACATTTTAGAGAGCAAATAATAATGCCAAATTATTGGCCTAACACATCCTCCGAAGTGGTCTTACTCTCACCAGTAACTGAATATCAAATTATAGACATTATGGAACAAATGGTCTACATAAATAAGGTATTCTTAAAGAAAAAATATGTCATTCCCAGACTTCAATGTTGTCATTATCAAATTCATGAACTGTGAGAGCACTTTGGCGTCTTAACTTTTCTCAAATGTCCCAACTCTTTGTGAAGCCTGGAGAGATGGAGAAGGAGGAGGAGGAGAAAAAGGAAGGGTGCAGAGGCTCAAAGAGGCTAAGACTGGGGACCAATAGGAGGTCTGGTGGTTAAGGCGCTGGACACTCCACATGTCTGACCACAGTTCGAGTCCTGCACTTGGTGGCTTTTTTCTCACTTTCCCCCTCTCTCTCAGTATCTGTTTCTCTCTGGTCAAATTAAAATAAATGGATGAATAAATAAAATTAAATAAATATTTCTTTTTTAAAAAAAAAAGAGGCTAAGACTATAAGCTAGCATTTAACCACCTCTCCTCAGAGGGTTACAGGGAGGCAAATATGGGAAAATGTATCGTATTATTTCTGCGTTTGAAATGGAGGACTGAGCAGACAGGAGTGTTTCAAGTCCTAATTTTTTTTTCCCATACCTCAATGCCAAATTATTTCTTACCTTGCATACGAAGGTCATTTCAATTATTTAGTTAATAATACTGAATTTGCATAAATTGGCCTTAGTGGAAAAGCTAATGAGCTGCATTTTGCTTTGTAGCAGAAAGCAATTCTGGTTTCAAGATTTTGTGATCAAATTAAGTGGGAAGAAAACTACAAGCACCTAGGTTAAAAATGGAAGAGGTGCCATTGGATGATCAACATACCATGCTTTTTACATTTTATCTTTTAAAGATATCAGTAGACTAACAGTCTATATTTGATAGATTGTTCCCAGTCATTTTACCAGCATGGAAGGTTAAGATTCTTCTAAAGTCTGAGAGAGCCTTAAATGTGTATGGAAATTTTCCCCCATGGAAGAGAACAGAAGCTGCATTTGAGTATCATACCCATTAATATCATTCATATTTATATACAGTAATACCAAATATTCTTGTATGTTAAACTTAATATGCTGGTCATTCTAAAACTGATGTAGGAAGTACATGATCACTCTGCCAACTTCTCCTTTTAGTGAATATAGGCGATAAGAATGATCTGTCGGGGACCAGCAGTTGGCGTAATGGCTATGTCGCTGAATTCCCACATAGTCGACCGCAGTTCGCATCCCAGACCCGGTGGCTTAAAACTCACGCTGGGCGTGTGTGTGTGCGTGCCCAAGATCCCAAGAGGAGAATGGAGGAGAAGGGATTGTGGCATGGCCATCCCCCCTGGGGGGTGATTTCTCGCTTTTTGTCTCTCTGTCTCTCTCTGTCTGTCTGGCGAGCGCACGTGCCCTGGCAAAAAAACGCAAGCGCACGTGCCCTATGGCAAAAAAAAATAAAATGAAATAAAATAACTCTCAAAAAAAAAAAAAAAAAAAGAATGATCTGTCATCTGGGGGCCAGCAGATGATGTGGTGATTAAGGATACTGGACTCCTACATGGCCCACCCCTGGTTCGAGTCCCAGACCTACTGACTTACTTTCTCTTTTTACTTTCTTTTCTCATTCTCTTGCTCTCTCACTCTGTCCCTCTCTTTTCAAATTAAATAAATAAATTAAGCTAAATAAAATAATATTTAAGTATGAGGTTTTTTTTTGTTTTTAAAGAATGAGCTATCCTCTTTTAGACATCTGTTTTACCATTTTTCTGAAATAGTATGTTCTTATTACGGAATATCTCTTTTCAGTGAATCAGTTGGTCTTCAGACCCCATTAATCATGATAAATTTACAAATATATATTCGGCGCATGAAAGAATTCTATTTGGCTCAAGTTCAGAAAGCTAACTGTGAGCATATTTTGGTGACTATCTCCTTACCTTTTAGCATATTATCTTTGCTAATCAGCATTATTTAAGAGTTATATGACAATGAAAACAATGTAGTAGACTCTCTCTGCTTGACTCAGCAATTAAGCAATAATTTCCTAAAAGAAGGCTGTCAGATAAACAGAGTAGAATGCATAAATTGCTCAATAAATTTTAATAAGTAAGAGGATTTTTAGAAACCAGATTCCAGACAGAACATATTTCTCTGGTGCTTACAACTCTGTCAGCACAATCTGAATGCTTGGTAGAGAAATATTTTCCACACTCTGGAGCACCAAACCCCTGGGAAGTTTTTTAAAACCCAAGTTCCTGGGGCACATTAATTTGCATTTTAAAAAGGGGAGCCCAGGTGGTGTGTTGGTTAAGGCATTGGACTCCTGCATGGCTGACCGAGGTTGGAGTCGTGAACCAGTCCTGGACTAGTAGCTTGCTTTCTCACTTTCTGTCTTTCTTTCTTTTCCTGTCTCTTTCCGATGAGCACACATAGCAAATTTTACAGAATAATAGTAAATAAAATTAAGTAAATAAATAAAAATAGGGAGAGCAACTGGAGGTATGGTGGCTAAGGTGGATGGATCCCACATGGT